TTATAATGGTTAGATAAAAGTTATAATTGGGGAATAATTATTATTATGATGCTGTCGCGTCAGAATGTTTGTATAAGACAGTGACAGCAACAATTTTGTTCCTCAGATAACATTGAAAAAAGAGCCCTAAATCAAGTTAAACTTTAATTTTTATTAGCGTACTTGCAACTATGTATTAAATATTTTCGCGAAGTATTATTAGTTTTTTTATCAGCCTACTAGCTTCTCTCGCGCGGTTTCACCCGCTGCTCGGCTCCATTTAATTGTAGTGTGATGTTTTATAGCCTATAGCACGCAGGAACATTGTAGCGTAACTATCTATCAGTAAAATTATTTTGGCAATCCGACCAGCGGTTCCAAAGATTACCCCATACATACAAACTTACAAATTTTACCTCTTTATAATATTAGTATAGATAAGTGCTCACTGCTGAGCAAACGCCTCTTCTCACACGGAGAAGGTTGGAGCATTAACCACAACGCCTGAGCCACAACGCTAACTCAAGTATTCGCGATTTTAAACTTACAATTTTATTAGACATTAGCGGACCGCCCCTGCTTCGCACGGGTCCAACTATCTCGCTATCAGAGTGTCACTTTTTCCTAATCTTCCCCTCTACTTTTCTAATATTTTCTGTGATAAGAACCTTCTCCTCACAATAACAAACACAACAAAAAAAAAGAATTAGCAAAATTGGTCCAGGCGTTGTTGAGTTATGCGCTTACCAACACATTTTGCAATCTATTTTTATATAAATAGATTATAAACTACACACAATACACTACTTGGAAACATGTCAAACGATCGTATTTTGTCTAAAAACTAAGAAAAATGTTGATTCAGATGTTTATAAATATCAATTTTTGTAGGTAATTATTACCACCACACAGTTGACTCATAGCGACCACGACGCTTAGTCTAAACGTTGAGAAATTACGAAAAATTGAGTAATATTATTCTAGCTTCCTAGCTAGCTCATGATGATTCGTAAAAAACACGGTCAAAAGTCAAAACAGCCGGGGTCATGGGTGCAAGCGCCCTCGGCTTAAAGCAGATTGAACGCCATGGTTTTAAGTCAGTTACTCCTTTATTACAAAACAAGGTTTATCTATAGTCCACATTTAAACCATTGAGTAACGCGGGTCTGAAGACGGCGAGTAAGGGCAGCTCGCCGCCCGACCAGAACCAGGCCCGAGCTTACGGCGCGTAGCGTTCCGCGCGCGCCTCAAAGAGCCAATAGACCACCAGAGACAGGGCCCTATAGAGCTGATGTTCAGCCGGGGTTGCGAAGTAAGCGCAATGAGGCACCGCGACCTCGGCACAGAGCAGGAGAAGGAATATTGGGGTCTTTGGTCAGTAAGAGTCTGAAAGTCCCTCCCGCCCGTCAGACATTTGATGATTTTCCCCTCAAAAAAAAACTATTGAGTCAGGTTTTGTATTTTGAATCTTATCCTCACATACTTTTAATTTGAAAAAAAAAACTGGCTCAATGGTTTAGACCTAGACTAAAGAAAGCCTTGTATAGGGCTGTAAATTGTTTCGTAATAAGGCTATAAAAGTCTGACACTCTCGTCTAACCAACGACGGGATACATAACAGCTCGATTTTCAGTCATACTACACAGTTTTATTTGGTAATTTTAGCTTTTTAGAAGTGAACTTTTCTCAGTATCTTCGAACTATGGAGGTACCGAGAATAGGCTTCGGTTTACGGCGATGTATGTAGGTCTTGTTTATGGTATTCTCAATGCAATATGGATATTTCAATATGTTTTTCAGTTGGAAAAAATGGATGAAAAAGAACGCCATTTTGTGCTGTAAATATTTCAAAATTACGTTTAGGTGCCTTACCTATAATGTCTAGAATCTGGATCGACTATTTCTTTTTCTTACGCAGTGCGGGATTCATTCTATTTCGGCCTCGTCCTGACCTTGTCTTACCTTGACCGCTGGTAACCTTGTTCCAACTAAATTTACGAGTTTTTTACACCAAATCATATGTTTCTAGAAGTTATTTTAGGTAATTGATAACAACGCCATCTGTTGAGTTTGATTTGAGTTACGGTTTCTTTGTTTCTGATTTGTTTGCGTTGCTTTTTCTTTGTTTGTATTTTGGTTGAAAGTATGTTGTTTTATGTAAACGTAGGTAATTATAAAAGTATGACCTTGTCGTGTGTTTCTATGATTAATTTATGAACGTTATTATATTACTCAATGATTCTGTTTCACTTGACTATTTATTTTTTGTATCTTTATCAACATTTTTATTCGAATTTTTATTGACTGCGATTCTGTGTTGCTTTGCGATGACACAACTTACTTTTGCCCTACAAGCTTTCTTACTACTAACAGCGCCATCTGGCGGCGAATAGTAAAGTCTCTACAGAAGAACAGAATATCTGCTAGATGGCGCTTATCTGAATATGGACGCTCAACATTTCGAATACAGATGTCGCCACTATCAATAGTTCGCTGTTGATCCGATAGGTGGCTACTAAAGCTAGGAACTGAGAAAATATTTTTAAAATTATTTCATAGATGGCGCAGTTGTGCACATAACAGATTTCGAATAAATATTTTTGTAATGAAATTCAATTGTTACACCTGGAAATAATTACTGTCAGTATGTTTGTAGCGTCTTTCACTTTTACGCAGAAAAATAATTATAAAAATCTTTCAAAATTAAAAATATTCGAATATGAGATATATTACATAAGCAGTTTTGTAAATTATACATAATAAATAGCTACAATAGTATCAGACCGAATTTAACTGAAAATTTCGCAGTATTAAAGTACAAAAAAAAAGGTTCAAACAAAACAAAAATATATAGGTATATTACCCTGTAGTAAAAATAAAGCTCCTTACTATACCGGGCAATGTGTTTGAAGCGGTTTAGTACATATTATATAAATTAGTTATGTACAATTGTTACATATGTAAAATGTATAACAGCATATGTAGAATAAAAAAACTAATTAAAAATCCCAAATGCTCTATGGTTTGGTCAATTTTATTATCCCGCTGTGTGAGAGACCCCTACCGGCAATTTGATTGCTCACAAATTTTGAAAACACAAACGAATTTGTACTTTATTGTGTAGATTATAAAGTTGAAATTTCTAAACATACAAAGTGCAGATGCGATATTTTAATCAATCAATAAAAAAATTGTAGTTCAATATTTAAATTGGTTACGTACTCGAAAAGACGTAACGCGGTCTTATTGGTGCTCGATTTTGGAGCTTGTGACTAGGTGTATAGAGTTTATTTTTGCGTCTGTCGTTTGGTTTTTTTCTTTCGAACGGTTTTAAATCCAAGGCGGTTATTAATTCAAGTGTTTGAGCCAATTAAAGATGGCGTGTGTCGAACGTTGATTTTAATTTTAATTGTATACTTTTTATTTAGAACTCTTTGGTCAAGTTGCGTATTTGAATAGGTACTGGGAAAGACTCCATACGGTACATTCCTGCGTTGGGCAAAATTTGCGCACTACGATATAATGAAACCTTTTTTTGTGATGGGAAAATCATCAAATGACGTCTCCCAGGGTGAGGCAGGAGGGAGTGTCAGACTCTTACTGACAAAAAACCCCCGTTGTTTTTCCTTTTCTTGGCTGAGGCCTTGGGCCAATATTGCTCTTTCCCCGCAACCCTGGCTGAGCATTATTCCTTCTTGGTTCCGTCTCTGTGGTATATTGACTTGTTGAGGCATGGCATGATACCTTTAAGTGTCTGTCGTCGTTATAATAGTCTTGTATTTGATGTTAATTCTGCGTTAATAACAGCATTTGTTTCATTTTGAAGGATAAGACTGCACGGTTGGTGCGGTGGCTGGGCAACTGGCTGCCGTGCAACGTGTCGCGAAACAACTCTTTGTGTGATCCGCAAATTGTTTTTCCGGGTCTGACTGTCATGTGTATGTGAAATTGTATGTTTGTAACCGCACCCACGACTCGGGAGAAAATCCAACTTGTGGGGCACGTTTTTTTATAAAAAATAATAGAAATAAAATAATAGATATAAAACAATTTATTAAATGTGTGTTTCAATGCATCGATCATAATTATCATAGGTCAATAATTAATAATAAAAAAAAGCCAAGCAATCAATTGGTAGTCTTGTAATACTTTAACCAATATAAAAATCGATGCACCCTCAAGTCTACGCGGCGTAACTCAAAAGCTAAAACTACAACAAGCACAGATAAAATCTACTTACAAATAGAAACTGAAAAAAAAAACATTATTATTTCATATTAAAACTTAAAAGCGGTCACACGCAAAAGGATTCCGAGAAATTCCATGCATCGCTATATTATTGTATCGAACGAAAGAAAAATAAAAAAAAAAGAAATCTTCGCGCCCTTTTATCTGTCATCCTTGTCAAAATGGCGCCGACTTTTACTATGGAGGTTTTAACGAATCTATTGATGTTATTATAATCCTTTAATTTTATGAATCGATTGTTATGATAATATTAATATTGTAAGTTTTTGAAGGTTTCTAGAATTTGGTTTGGCGGCTCTGTGGGGATATGGGGAAGGAGTATAATAATCGTCATCTCTGAAACTACCGTATCTCTATCTCTAAAGTTTGCATTTTTTTTTTAATTTTTGGTGGAAAGTCCTAGGTCTGTAGGAAGCGGCAAACGAGCAGACAGATTACCTGATGGCCTGATGGTAGAGCAAGACCGTAACTGGCTTTTTACAGGACTGCCCAAAGAAAGGAGTGTTGTGTTTTTGGGAGTTGGGGATTTGGGGATTGGACATGGGGATTTGGAGATTTGACATGGGAATTTGGAGATTGGACATGGGGATTTGGGGATTAGATATGGGGATTGGGGTTGCGATATCCTCACTCACTCACAGGGCGAAATATTTGCACACAATTATTTTTTTTCTGTGTGACCGTGGTAGGCCTCCTTGCAAGCCACCTGAAATTAAAAAAACTTTATAATGTTAATGCAATGTTCTAATTGTATGTTTTTCACTTGTTCCCAGGACATGGACCTCATCGAGGTGCTTTGGAAGCAGGATGTGGACATGGGTTTCTCCTTGGAGGATCCTGTGCAACCGGTAAGTGCTATATTCCTAACTTCGGCCTGATAACTTTTAAGGGCTGATTTTTCAATAGCCAGATAAATGTTATCTGAGGAATAAAATTGTTGCTGTCACTGTCTTATACAAACATTCTGACGCGACAGCATCAGAATTATTCCCCAGTTAACTTTTATGTAATCATTGAAAATCTGCCCTTAATGACTTGTAATTTGTTCTTTAGGGATACAGGTTTTTTCTTAATAGTAACTATCGTGAGACATATCGAAATTCCTAAATCAAAAATAAATTAATTCGACGTTTCAATACAATACAATATTGAAAAATTATACTTGTATATGTCACCGGAAAATAACAAGATCCGTAAGTTTATCATTTTACTAGGAAGTTTATAAACTTTCGTTAGATTCTAAACGGGAGATAAATTGTAATATTTTACGTCCACATTTTCGTTAAATGATAAACTTACTGAACTCTCTCGTAAAATAATAAGTAAGCAGTAAGCAAACGCTACGCGCGATCTGATTGGTTGGCTGTCACGTGTCACTTCTCCTTCCTCGCGGCCGCCATTGCTGGCCACGGAACATAAACAAACGTTAAATAGCTTATTGAAACTGATAATAGAAAACTCAACTCACTACATCCGTGATAGAGAGGAACCAGGCATTGTTGCTTCCAATTTATAGTTTGTCAAGTTTGATTATTCCAAGGTCTATGGACACAAGCATTGCCACTATGAACATTTCACATTTCAAAGATCGTATATTTAAAAGAGTTTTTGTGATTGGTCGAACCATATAAAATCTTACGAATAGATATTCGTTAGTTTATAAATTTACCGTATGACGTCGGAAATTGATAAATTTACGAAAATGTGGACGTAAAATATTACAATTTATCTCCCGTTTAGAATCTTACGAAAGTTTATAAACTTCCTAGTAAAATGATAAACTTACGGATCTTGTTATTTTCCGGTGACATATATATACTTTTATTCATCGATCTGTCGATACTCTAATGTTTGTTATTTTTTAAGAAATAAGTAAGCTATTTGACGCATAAATACTATGACGTCATAATTTCGAGTTTCATGCAATTGTATGTAATAGAGAAATAAGCATTGAATTTGACTAGTTGGAAACTACCGAATTAGCAAACCAGCTAACTTCACATTTCGTCAAAAAACAGATACCTAACTCCTAAAAAGGTTTTATAAAAGATAGCTCGACTAAAATCCGCAAATCTGTACTAATATTAAAAAGAGCTAAAATTTGTATGTTTGTAAGGTTGTATGTATGGGGTGATCTTTGGAACCGCTGGTCGGATTTCCAAATTTCTTGCTACAATATTCCTGAGTGCTATAGGCTATGAAACATTAACCTACGATAAAATGGAACCGAGTAGCGGGTGAAACCGCGCGAGAGAAGCTAGTCAAGTATAATTTATAGGCTATAGCACCCAAGGAAATTGTGGCTATCTATCAGTGAAAGAATTTTGGCAATCCGACCTGCGGTTCCAAAGATTACCCCCTACATACAAACTTACAAATTTTACCTCTTTATAATTTTTATTGATTACATGGTAATACAATGTTGTGGTACCATCGAACTGGTCTGATGATGGAACTGGAAGGTGGCTGATGGAACCTTAAACTATTTACTAGTAAATATATTAAGTTTGGGCTCATTAATAAGTCCAATATATATATGAAACCAGCTTTTGTCAGCGACTTTGGTTCGCATGGAATAGTGACTTCCTGCAGATTTTTTATTTAAAAACCATCCTATGCCTTTCTCGAGTTCCAAACTATGTCTGCACCAAATTTCACAGAAATAGGTTCAGTAGTTTAGGCGTGCAGAATAAACAGACAGACAGACAGACAGACAGACAGAGGTACTTTCGCATTTATAATATTAATTTGGATATGTCCATTTCTTTAATGTCTTTTTTCTAACTATAGGAAGGTCCAACGGCAACCAAAGTGCTTGGAGATGAGATTGAAAAAGAGCTAAAACTGGCAGAAGAGAAGATTGTTAAGAAGAATGAAGAGAAAGCTGAAATTGAAAAGGTGAAGGCTTCGCTACTGGATTCCGAAATTAAGGAGGTATGTCTTATGGAAATATAATTCCTTGTTAAAGTTATATGTACTTTCTATGATTATTTAGACACCACTGATATACGGTGAAGGTAAACATCGTGAGGAAACCTGAACTTGTAATTTCTAATTATAAGTTTGAAATCCTCAATCCGCCTTGAGCAAGCGTGGTGGTTAATGCTCAAACCTTAACCGTGTGATAAGAGACCTTTGCTCAGCAGTGGACACTTATAGGCTGATGATGTGGTTTTAAGTGTGAGGGAGCCATGCTTCGGCACGAATGGGTCGGCTCGACCGAAAAGATACCCCGGAGTTACAGAACGCTGGCGTGAAATAACCACAGCGTTGTGTTTCGCCGTGTCAGTGGATTTGATGGAGCCTATTGTTTTCTCATCTGTCCCTAAATCCCCAAAGGGAGATACCTATCCCAAGTCATGTCGTGGCGTGTTCGATTCACCCACAATTCTTGGTGTGATCCACAAATTGTTATAACGGGTCTAGGTGTGATGTGTATGTATGTTCGACACAAGACACAAAATTAAAGTATGGTATTTTATTTCGTAATGGTCAGACTTTTGGCCGCTATCACGCCTGGTGGTAAGCTATGATGCGATCTATGATGGAGCAGGTCTACCCATAAGCAACCTATTCACTCGGGCCTTGAAGGCACCCAGGTTCCCCTTAAGGGAACACAGACTCCGGCAAAGAATTCCACTCCTTAGCGGTTCTGATTTAAAAAACTGGAGGGGAACCGCTTCGTGTGTGTAGGTGGGATATCCACCATGAAGCGATGACGTTTTGCCGATTGTCTGGTTGTACGATGTTGGAAAGGACTAGCGGTAATCAAGGCTTGTAGCTCTCCGAAACATTTTCCGAAATCTATCCGATTAAAAATAGAAATCTCACAATAGGGATGTCTCCTGGGTTAAAACAACAAGATTCTAATTAGTCCGTCAGTTAGATTATAGAAAAATACTCGATACGTATTTTTTTATTTGTCCATACGAATAATATTGACAAAGATACAGCACATTCAAATTTAGGAGCAGGGGCTCGTGACATCTCTCTCTCGTAAAAATTTTACGAAATAATGACGTAGTGCGAACTTTCGCCGCTCTGTAACTTTGTTATTTTAAGTTTTAGAAGCAAAAGAAAAAATACTTATCTACTATTTTCTGGCGTTCTAAAAGATGGACTAATTATTAGTTTTTAGTCGTCATCCCTATTTTGCGCCTGTATATTTTTTCTAAAATGTATGGTTTTTTTCAGGATGACCCCTGGGCCGGACTCTCCTATACCGTTGATACTGAGACAGGTAAGATTTTTCTTTAATTAGTTTCTAGCATTTTCAGGTTCAAATTTTTTGAGCAAGATAGTACAATAAGTGTTGTAAGAAATAGTGGTTTTGTACGTTCAAAAAGATACAATATTATTTCCTTTTTATGTATTTATGAATAGTTAATCTCGTTAGGTATACTATTTTTTTTTAAAGTAGCGACTTACATGTATTAGCTGAGAACAGGTTAATTAGTTTCAAGTCACAGCGGGACTCTTATTCATCAGCACCGTACGTGTCGCCGCGCCTCAAATGTCATCTAAATTGGTTCAGCAATTGAGTAGTTTCCTAGGTCAAAAATAAATTAATTCGACGTTTCAATACAATAATAAATTGAAAAATAACTATACTTTTATGAATCAATCGATCGATACACTAAGTTTTAGATATTTTTTTAATGATTAGGTATTAAGACATAAATAAGCTATTTGACGCAAAAATACTTTATCGTAATAACTCAGTGTTTCATAGAAAAGTATAGTTTTTGACGTTTGGATAAAAGTATTGAATTTGACTAGTTGGAAACTACCGTATTCGAAACGATAACTCCGCTATCGTTATAAAGTTAACTTAATATTTAATTTCGAATTGTAATTAAAGTTTTTTTTATACAACGACAAAAGAGGTTTAGGTTTTCATTGCGTCGTAAATTACAATTTGTCTTTGACTATGTTTAAAGACTTAATTAAATTAGATTTTCAAAAAGATATATATGTAAAGATATATCAGTAACAGCGCGACAGTCGCCGCGTTGCGTGTCGCGTAATGCTGCTCATGAATATGGGCCTCTAGCATGTCTTGAAACTAGTCGAGTATGTCGTCAAATTATTACGCGAGTAAGCCGAAAACATAATAAATAATTAAGATATATCAGCTGATTCAGCTGATGATTTTTTTAAAGTCAAATTCAAAATCGTTTAATTATTCCAACTAAACCATTAATAGGTACTTTTGAAACGTCAAAATAGAATTATAGTAGTCTGTCTGTAGGTATAATAGTAGTTTATCTTTATATATAAAAATGGATCGCAAAATGTGTTGGTAAGCGCATAACTCAGCAACGCCTGGACCAATTTTGCTAATTCTTTTTTTGTTGTGTTTGTTATTATCGGGAGAAGGTTCTTATCAAATAAATTATTAGAAAAGTAGAGGTGAAAATTTGGAAAAAGTGACCCTATAGGTGGACCCGTGCGAAGCGGGGGCGGGCCGCTAGTAGTATAAAAATTAGTTTGTCGTGGACATTGCGAAGAAATTGAGCGAACCACAGCTCAATTAGCTTAAAGGCTGTCAAGGTAAGTGAACTTTTGTAAATTGAATGCTTAGTTTTTTTTTTAATTCTTCAGATGTAGTTGTAGATCAAGTATAATATGGTAACGTGGCCTCGGCCCAGAGAAAGAGAAAGAGAAAGAGTTGTTTTTATTCAGTAAGTGTGGGAGAGCCATGCTTCGGCGGGTCGGCTCGACCGGAGTGATACCACAGCCTCACAGAATACCGGCGTGAAGTGTGAGTGAGGTTACCGGAGGCCCAATTCCGTCCCTTCCCCTATCCCTTCCCGATCCTTACATCCGCAACCCTTATCCCCAAAAGGCCGGCAACGCACTCGTAACTCCTTTGGTGTTGCGGGTGTCCATGGGCGGCGCTGATTGCTTACCATCAGGTAATCCGTAGGCTCGTTTGCCGACTTATACCATTAAAAAAAAAGTAAGAGTCTGACACTCCCTCTCGCCTCACGAGAGAAGTAATTAGACCGCCAAAGGTTTTTTACTTTAGAATATACATATTATACTGTTTTAACCTACATTTAAGGCCAGTTTCAATGTCTGAAATCGCTTTGAGCCAAATAAGATTATCACTCATGTATCTGCGGAGTTTGTTTGTTTGAACGCGCTCATATACAGAACTACTGGTTTGATTTGGATAATACTTTTTGTGTTGAATAGATTCTTAATAGAGGAAGGCTATATAGGTTTTAAAACGTCACGCTATAACGAGGATAACGGCGCGACATGAGTTGGCAAGAAAATTATATATTTAAAATATTTTACAACCATTTTTATAACTTAAATTTTCAAAATGACGGAACATCTGTTCTAGAAGCTTTTTTCTTTGATTCTTAACCTTTTTTTTCTAGAAATATTTTATTGTATGTTTTTTTCTTCAAACGTAGTTTCAAATTATTGCCGCCATTGTTTCTTATACCCTAGGGTATAAACCCGAGCGGAGTCGCATGATATCATTAGTCAAATGATTCAGCTCATTTTAAAGCCGCTCCTACCGACACGGAATAGTTGCAGCGGATTCTCGATTTGAAATTTATGTAATTTCGAATTTTTCGAAACGTATTTTGAATAGTTCTTTTTTTAAATTAAAATCTGTTTTCTATACTAATATTATAAAGAGGTAAAATTTGTAAGTTTGTATGTAGGGGGTAATCTTTGAAATCGCTGGTCGGATTTTCAAAATTATTTCACTGATAGATAGCTACAATGTTCCTGATAATTTACAGATAATTTATAGTTTGGAACTCCAGAAAGGACATAGGATATAGTTTTTATACAAAAAATCTACAGGAAGTAACTATTCCACGCGAACAGAGTCGCGGACAAAAGCTAGTATTTATATAGAACTAGCTACTCCCACGTGGTTTCACTCGCTGCTCGGCTCCATTCGATTGTAGCGTTATGTTTTATAGCCTATGGCACTCGGGAACATTGTAGCTATCAATAAGTGAAAGAATTTTGGAAATCCGGCTAACGGTTCCAAAGATTACCCCCTACATACAAACTTACAAACATACAAATTTTACCTCTTTATAATATTAGTATAGATTAATCAATTTTCGACCTTAAAAATACCTCTACAGTAATCCAAATAAGACTCAATACAACTTAAATTTAAAAATCCAATCCTCACACATAGGCCTTTAAGGATCATTACTATAATCATTTAAGTTTATGTACCCCTGAAGATATCGAAAAGGTGGTTTCTCTGACCGTCCCCTATGTAACATTTTTACATAAGGGTTGAAATTGATATAAGTAATCTAGGTAGGGGAAGTTTCCCCTTTAAATCGGTCTTGGCGGCTCGATAGTGCAACTTCGCTGTGTTTTGTAAGCAAAAATAATCATCAAATGACTTCTATCGCTATGGATGGGCGGCGGGAGCGAGTGTCGGACTCTTACTGACTAAATTCCACCCAGATCTTTCTCCTGCTCCAGGCCTAGGCTGTGGTACATTATTCCGCTTAAACATTAGCCCTGTTTGGACCTATCTGTGGCCTGTTGGCTCTTTGAGACCCAACCGTAGTTCGACGCGTACGGCTACTCGTCATCCTCAGCTTATAAGTGCCCACTGCTGAGCAAAGGCCTCTTCTCACACGGAGAAGGTTTTTCTTATAATTTTATTTGATGCGTCATATGGCGTGCTTATTGGCAAACTTGCCGTGTCCCCCGGTTTGTCGCGCTTAGTTATACATCCGATGTTTACCGAAGATAGTGCAGTTGCAGTTTGGCAACAGTGAAAGATATTTCCAAATCTGTCATGTACCTAGTTTCGGAGCATATTCAATTCAAACAAACAAACAAATAATTACTTAACCTCTTCCTTTCAAAGAAGAGGCGGATCGCTAGGTTATAAAAAATATATTAAAACTAAGCTTAAAAATAAGGTCCCATAGATAAAAGATTAATTCGCCATCTTTCCTTCAAAATAATATTAAAGTTTAATCATAATTTAATCGCTTCCAAAAAGTTTTTATTAGGTATTATATATTCCGAAAACTTTTCCCATCATATTTTTATCAAATGCAATTTTTTTATCTTAAGAATTTCAATGACTATTTTATTCGAAGTTTTAATGAGGTTCCGATATTAGGTGATAGGAAAAGAATGACTCGTCAAAGTCTACATCATACAAATATATCATCTATATTATCTCTATATAGGTACTTCTATACTTCTATACTAATATTATAAAGAGGTAAAATTTGTAAGTTTGTATGTAGGGGGTAATCTTTAGAACCGCTGGTCGGATTGCCAAGTTTATTTCACTGATCTACAATGTTCCTGAGTGCTATAGGCTATAAAACATCAAGCTACGATCAAATGGAGCTGAGCAGCGGGTGATACCGCGCGAGAGTAGCTAGTCAGCCTCAGCTAGGTACCCACTGCAGGTGCAGAGCAAAGGCCTCTTCTCACACGGAGAAGGTTTGAGCATTAACCACCAAGCTCGCTCAAGGCGGATTGCATTTCAAACTTAGAATTAGAAATTATAAGTCAAGGTTTCCTCAAGATGTTTTCCTACACTGTAAATCAGTGGTATCTCAATATCGGAGGAATTATGAGTGCTCTGCCGGCACTTTTGGAGGTTCGGGTTTTGGAAATTTAAGGATTGGAAAGGAAGGATTTTCTTTTTGTGAGGGGAAAATCATCAAATAACTTCTCCCGTCCAGGGCCGGGCAGGAGGGAGTGTCAGACTCTTACTGACTAAAAACACCCCGTTCCTTCTCCTGCTCTGGGCCGAGGTCGCGGTGCCTCATTGCGCTTACCGCGCAGACCCTTTAGGGCTAATGTTCAGCCGGGGTGGCTGAACATCAGCCCTATAGGGTCTGTGGTGGTCTATCGGCTCTTTGAGGCGAGCGCCGAACGCTACGCGCCGTACGCTCGGGCCTGGTTCTGGTCGGGCGGCGAGCTACCCTTACTCGCCGTCCGCAGACCCGCGATTACGATGGCCGGAGATCATCTCTAGAATGATGGGGTGCTTTTTAGTCAATAAGAGTCTTGAACTAACTCTCGTAATTTATTATTAAAATTTGTTGAAGGAAAGGTACACAGATTATAATTAAGTTTTAAGAGAGACTTATAAATATTTTTACTCTATTTTTTACACTCATACGACTGTGTGCATAAACCTTGTGACAACAAGACTTATAATAGTGTATTTCGGAAAACTATAAGCCCAATTTCACTTTACCCTACTCG